AAAATGTANAATCCGTATTTCCATAATTTGGTAAAAACAGATGTTTTACAAAAAAGTGTCTATGCTTAATAATTGGATATCGAAACAATGCTTTAAAAATGTACATTTTTTTTTTAATAAAGTTTACTCGCTTAGAAGAAGAGTTTACATGGACTTGAGATGGACTGCTTGAGTTCGGTAAATACTAATAGCAAGAAACGCAAAAGCTATTTATAAAGATCTTGTCTAAATCGTGACTTACCGTACCTACATGTTTCGAGTCTACATATATTAGTTTACCTACATAATGTTTGTACATACACATCTATACAAGTTCGGTCCCAACCGTGTACATGTGTTATACATTGAAATCCGTTATCTCAAAGTCAATAATACAAGATGGCGGTACCGTCACAAGAGGACAACATTTGGGGTCAAGGGTTACCTCAGTGCCGGATCATAGGTTCGGGTTTGTCCATATTTCTCTTTAAGGGGGATTAGAGTACAAGTTTTATCAAACTAGGCCGATATCTTATCTCCAATGCTATGTCTGGTGTCAGAAAGCACGCCGGGTAGCCCGGGCACAGCTGGGTCACGATAAAAATACCGAATTAACAGATTTGAAACGAAAACACTGTATAGCTATACCATATTAATACATATATTAAAATATGAAATCATATACGCAAAGACCGATTTGTGCAAAAACTTTTATGTTCGTAAACTTTTCTTTTCACCTTTATGTTCGTATACTTTCTGTTGACTTTTATGTTCTTAAACTTTTCTGTTAACCTTTAAGTTCGTACGTTTTCTGTTAACTTTTAAGTTCGTACATTTTGATGTTGATCTTTATATTCGTACAATTTGATGTTGACTTTTTTGGTTCTACTCTTTTCTCTTGAATGTTATATTCGTAAACTTTCTGTTCACTTTTATGTTATAGTTATAGTTATTTTCCAGTACAGGAACAATATGTTCCTCTACACCGGCTCTATTATACATGTTATATGTTCTCATTTTTAAATATTAGAGTTCACTTCCATCTATGGTTGCCTTTTAATTATAAAGTATTTCCTGATTTTTCCATATTTTGTCCAGTCTATTCTTGAAAGTGTTTATATAAGGTGCCGATACAACGTCCTCGGGAAGACCGTTCCACATTTTTACAGTTCTAATACCAAAGCTGTTCGTAAACTTAATGTTGACTTTAAATATACGTATACTTTTTCTGTTTACCTTAAATAATTTCCGTTAACTTTTCTGTTGACATTTGTTTGATGTATACCCCACACTTGTTGTATCGGTACCTATCTGTTGACAGGATATTTTTTTAACTTAATCGACACGTTTTTAAATCGTTATAGAAGTTATTTGTTGCATTATCATTTATCTGTAGTCAAGTATACCGTACCACAAAGTTGTACTTGTATAACAAAAATCATAATGTTTCTATTATCAAATAAGTCACGGGCATGCAGCCCTCCAATTGGCGTTTGAGTTAAACATGATATTGGAAGGTACAATTTATTACAACTTGATTGTCCTACCAGCGCCTTCTCCTATACATAGAGGTATATATTCACATGATAACAAAAACAAACAAATCTGCTGGATATACATAAATATGATTACATGAGGAGCCTATCACTCTATTTTATGATTTATAATTTCGATAAATCAACTTAAAGCATATCATGTCCATGAACGAAGTCTTTATTTTGTTGTATTTCTAACCCTAAAGATTCATTTTATTCAGAAGGTCAATTTTCACCCTTCGGATAAAACACATTTGGCATCCCCCATCCATGAAGAGAATTTAATTGGTAGGATTACTGGCTCTGAAGAAGAAGTTTTTTTTACATTTGTTAAATTTACCCTTTTTGGCAGAGCTCTTCAAATTGTAAATGTTAGAAAAAGGCTTATAAGCAAATTGTTTAACCCACTTACTGAGGTAATTTTGTGAAGTTTACGTAAATAATAGATTTAAAGAACTGGATGAATCTAACAATTGAATTTAATAATCCGGAGAATTCCCACTGTGCTGATAAGATGACACACAGACAGAAATGGCTTTAAAGAGAATTTGTACGAAGAGAAAGAATTTTTCATAAAGTGTAATTATAATATTCTCCAGTAACCAAAATCATAAAATGATCAGGGCCCGTATACCTGAAACCGTTCTCGTGCCTAAGCATGGATTCTGTGCTAAAACATCATTGTACAAGGTCAAAAAGTCAAGTTTAAACATTGTTAACGGTATTCGGTCCATAGTCTCTCAAAAAGTCTTCCAGATTATTGACAAAATGTTTATTTTGGTTAATATATTACCGGGAGATGAGAACGAGCATGAGCACGGTTTCATGATTACGGGCCCTGGTGTAACATTGCCACGATTTTGTATAAATGTTTTTAGTTTTCTTCGGTCGGAATGGGTTTTTAAACAACTTCAAAACGAACAAGTACTGTATCAAAACGGAAATATCAACTCCTTAATCAGAGTGGGTTGATAACTCCGTGCACTCATACCGTGTAAAACGGGTGTTTATAAGGATTGACCTTCGTTTTGACGGCGTATACGGTAGTGTGAACGCAGTTGACAACGAACGTATTATATGGTACGCGTTAGCGCTCTATAAAAAAGTTCGTTGCCATGAATTTTTTTTTAATTCTTTAAAAGGAACGGGTTGCTTCTATGGTAATTACAGTAGTTGGGGTTGCTAGGATAATATAATTCCAGTACCTCAGAATACACAGTAAACGACACTTTTTTTTAATGGCTTTAAAATTTCAAATTAATTAATCTGAGTAGCGCTTCGATCATTTTAATTCATTGATACTCGCGGCCGAATGTTCCAGAAAGAGGGCGCCATTGTTACTATAAGCACCAGAGACTTTGAATGTGTATCCATGGATCACATAAGAACTTTGTCAGCATCCCTTTCTTGCATAATTAAACGTAATGAATCCAGAAGGGAATAAGCAATTGCTGTCATCGGACCGTCATTTCGCTGAACCGTGAACGGCGCTAAAACAAGTATCAATCAATCCGCCGAGCCCTTTTTCACTGTATGTACGCTAATTCATACACAGTCAAAGTTTACTAAGCTGAAGAAGGGAAATATGTGAAAGTAAAGTAGAGTTATCCCTGATGTAAAATAGGAATAAAGCCATTTAAATCAAACATATAAAAGCAGAGACCTCCCAACAAGATGACAAATTGTAAATGGAGTGTTATGGTTATCTCGACAATAATGACTGAAGCATATATCATGACATTTTTTTTTATAGAATCGATTTATTTTAAAACAATTATGAAACAAGTTATTTCAACTTAATTTCATCACTCTTGTTGGCCCGGATGTTAGAGCGCGGGGTCTTAATATGGAAGGAAACCGAAGTACCCGGAGAAAACCGATGTTGTCGGGCAGGTGACCCCATTCCTTTTCATGTGTGATCGGGGAATCGAACCTCGGTCGTCTTGGTGAAAGGCAAGTGCGCTATCCTCTTTGCCACGCGACCACCCCTGCACAATTGCCAAACATCCATGATATACGTGAATTCATAGTTTAGAGAGGTTCTGAATAAGGGGCATATGGGAACTCGAGCGCGAGAAGTAAACACGATGCTTTGTTTCCCCGCCAGGCAATCAATATATTTCAATAAGATAGTTTTTATATAGATAATGTAAAAATGTGACATACCTTTGGCATTTATTACAACTTACAAACCTTACGACAACATGGTTTTCATTATTAAAAGGGAAGCATATATGAAACACTGAGGACCCGAAAAAAAAAGAAAAAAAAGAAAAAAAAAAACCTATTGAGGCAAGTAAATTGGTAATCATGACAAACACATTTTCTGGGATTCGACTAAATAAACATTCAGCATTGCGAAAAATGTAACATATGCCTAGCTGTCATTTTAACAGACACAAAAAATGAAAACAATATATGTTCATGCTCTAGAATTTAAAAGACCTCCTGGAATTATATTCACAAGCAAGATTACTTTTTCTAAAAACTTTGAACTTTGAAGTTTAATTTAACTTAACAAAACTGGTAAGACCTGAACACGGCTTGTTTTTACAAACAGATAACACTGACGACGCAAAAATTTCATATAAACACACACCTGTGGTGAGAGTTCCAATCGATAGCAGTTATCGATTTTTTCACAGGTGTGCAATAACTAGACATTTTGAGCATACCCTCCACATGCTGTGTGTAAACCGCTACATCGCTCGACTAACAACGAACGAAAACACTGTCGACGATTTACCCGGGAAACAGAGCTCTTTGTTCCGTAGTGGTTGTAGCTTAGGCAAGTTTGTTATTTATACTTTAAGACATGTTATTGAATTTCTACAGTGCCGATGTCATTTCTGTTAAGAAAGATATCTCGGACTCCTCTTATTTATAACACGTTTTAGGAATTAGATGTTTGAAATTTGAGAGTTTTAAGCCATTTTTGGATATTTGTCAAACTCGAAACATCTCAACTATTTTAGAAAACACGTTTGTGATTTCCCTGTTAGAAATTTTGCAGAATCATTTATTAATTAGAAATGCAACTCCATTGAGGCAAAAGAATATTTACAATGACAAAATAACAAAAAAAAAAACCTTTATAAGAAGCTCATCTATGGACTCAAAATGCAGACGTTTTGAACAATTCACTAAAATCTTTTATTATTTCCATCACTTATTCTAATACCAATACGTTTGTTATTGTTTTCAATTCAATTTTATTTTTTTAATTGATTAATTCCCCTATTGATATTCGTTCTTTAAGGTTATATCAATCATTTCATTCATCCTTTCAATTAAACATTTATCGATCGATTTCTATAAAAAAAATATCAACTTATGTAACACCTTATCAATATGCTATACATAGGTTACATTATATATTCTTGTCCCCGTATCTACATATATATATATATACCACAATCACGGTAATAGCAACGATGGGAGGCAACTCTGGTCACTGAGAAACTAACGGTATTTGTTTTCTTCCAGACGACCCGAACTACTTTAACGGAGAAGGGCGAGAATGTGTCAACTGCGGAGCGATATCGACGCCATTATGGCGGAAGGACGGGACGGGTCATTATTTGTGCAATGCATGTGGATTATATCATAAAATGAACGGATTAACGAGACACCAAAATAGCAAAATGTCCCCCACACAGGTATGTTAAAACTTTCAGGTCGATTTTCTTCAAAAATGATAATTGTAAAAATGCATTATGGCCGATAAACTGAAAAGAAATATCGGCAATCACGTCTTCAAGACTATCGGATTTTCAAAAAATCTCATAATATATAAAGTGTTATAGTTTTTAACATATATGGCTATCACGAGAATTTTTTTGCTCCTAGTGTGTATATAAAAAACCAACACATATATGTAGTGTATGATTTTCAATGTTTTAATTATTATTTCATTGATAGAAAGAATTCCTTGTTTTGGTGTCCAACCTTATAAATAATATAAGTAAGTGCGGTAAATAATATAGAGAGAGATAAATGCAGCGAACGGGTCAAGAATCCAAGGGAAAGCATACGTACAAGCCCTTTAAAAAAACAAAAACATATTGTAATGTATTTATTCATATAATCCACATATTTCTTTAAGGCACCTGCATTTTTTTTTGAATATGTGCTTGTCAAAATAGAAATCTGTTAGCTCGTAGTTATGCGCAAACTGTTTCTGAAATTATCAGCAACATAACATTTTTTATTATTAAATTCGTGATTATAAAACAACTTTTTTATTTGGTCATGTACAGTATATTTGATTTATGGTCATCAAACATCAACTACAAGATGTAAAGGTTTCTTTGGACTGATGTGACCATCAGATGCTTTGATAATAAAACTTATAATAAAACTAAGTGAAGCATCAACTTGTGTGGAATTATTTGCATGGGCGATAACTCTGTTTACCTTTTGAAGTTTTGTGTTTGAGCAGGCTATACAAATAGATGAAATCTGTTGAATTCGTGATATAAAACAACGACTTCATTACTTGATCATGTATGTTTGTTTTAAAGTAATCGAACGAAACAATGTAAATACACACAGCTGTGACAAGAAGACAGTTAAGTCACAAAAACATACAAGCTTTAATTTGGCTGGAATTATTTACATGGGCGATAACTCTGTATACCTCTGAAAGTTGTGATGGCATCAACACAGGTGAAGGGAGGTAACTGACGGGAAAAGAGACACTGCCGATTTTTTTAGGTTGTATGGATTTTGAACAAAGCGTGAACACGTTTGGAACTATATATATTTCAAAGCATTTTAGTGATGAATTAATATTTCTGTAGCGGTAATACTTTTTGTGTACGCTTTCAATGTGTACATCTGATAACAAATGACCCGTTAAAGTAGTCCAAATAATTTTAAATATATATATATATATTACTTTTTTTTTTTTTTTTTTTTTTTTTACATCATCGGGTTTCTTGAACAAGCAATTTTTAAAAAATGAATAGAAATTTAAATTATTCCTGTATGATCGTCGAATAAATAAACAAGTCAGTCTGCAAATATTTCTAACACATAATAGCCCGCACAAGTACACGCGCATTCAACGCCTATGTAACGTAGTGGTGACTGTGTGCTAGCATATAATACAAGAAACCCTTATAATACTACATTGATATTTGGTTTTGTGACCGAAGTAAAAAAAAACAATAAATACGGTTAAATTATATCAAAAACATTTGTTACACAAGGAACATTTGTTAGAATATATAACATGTATAATTCAATGATATAAATATATTTGCAAACACGCATAATGAAACTTAATTATTCACTGGTGTACATTTTCTTAAATTCAACTTTCACACCGATTTTGTTTTTTCTCGAAATATTCAACATATCTTTAATAAACTGTCCATGCACGTTTCTTTCGAAGACACAACAAATTGCTTATCGATAGGGAAATGTTTGTTTAATATAAAATAAAAAAATGTCTGCTTTTAATTCGCAAACTGAATTACCCCTTATAGGGCCTCACTGCGAGGTTACATGTCGACTCGACTCAAGCAAGGGGTATCTGATTTCTTCACACCGAAACTTTCACTCCCCCTGAAATTTTAGTACTCACCATCAACTCCAGGCAATGAGCCGTTGTCGAGCTTTGGGAGGACCAGCTAGATTTATACTGTAAACAAATAGAACTCCCCAGCACGTCGCCAAACTTTTCTAGTAGCTCGTTCTGGAACACAGCAACCGTTTATCGTCACTATGTCTGTTGACTTAGTATCTTACTTCATATTTCAGGACTCGACGGAGGACGACAAACCCAAAAAATTTGAAAGTAAATATGACAAGGTAAGTTTAATTTTATTTTTTCTCATTTTGTTACATTTATGGTGAAAAGCATTAGATTTTTGTTGCGATGAAGATGTTTTCATGCGGGATCTGTTGATGTATTCATATTTCTCACAGTCACGTTTTGTGTACAAATGGGCGTGTATGCTACACGGACACATCTTTTTGTAAATAATGTTACCCTCTGTTTTGACCACCGATATGTTATAATGGATCTTTATGCACCGACTGTATATCTATCCTCTCGGACGCCATATTGAGTCAAGTTCACCACCTGTAGTGTTTTGGTGTTTGTTTCTAAGTGATAAACATATATCTGTTTGTAGTAAAGACTACAAACTACACGTATCATCGGCTATTTATTTGCCTGTTGCTTGTATCAGAAGGGAGGAATCTCTCTAGGTTGTATGTTAAAACCACAGGTACCTGCGAATGTTTTACAGTTCTATCTGGAACTAAACTTTTGTGTTCAGAGTAATTTGACGTGTTTAAGGGGTTAAGATCGTCTCTCGGTAAAAATGACACCCCAATCCTTAAACATGTACAATAACTCTGAACGCCTTAGTTAAGGTCCAAAGATAGCTGTAACAAATTCGCAGGTGACTGTGGCTAAAACTACACACAGGGGACCAATGTATGCTTCCCATAAAACGTGGGCCCTTATACTACACACATGTAGCTGTGACCCTCGTAAATCCAATTATTCTAGCTGCTAGATTAGGTAGTATTGCTAACGTAAGTCTTAGGTCTACGTTTAGAGATAACTGCAGAAAATATTTATTACTCTTGTGAACAAAATACAGATATTTTCCTGTCATACGGCAGTAATTTTTACAATATTTATTTAAAACTTCATACAGCATCGATTAGTTTTAAGATAAGGAGGTGCAGAATTGCGGTCGGGGCAAAATTTGGGTCGGTCGAAATGACATCGAGCAAAATATTCTATGGAATCTAATACGGTTCACTTAGATACAGTATAGATACGCGTTGAAAATATTAAACAGACCACGTATCATTTGATGTAGCTACCACAGGGACCTGACAATTTGTTACAGCTATAGTTTGACCTAAACTACGCTGTTCAGTACATATGATCATGTGGGGTGTCATTTTTACCGAAAGTCGATCTAAACCCCTAAACAAGTAAAATTACTCTAATCACAAACGTTTAGGTCCAAATATTGTTGTAACAAATCATCAGGTCCCTGTGGTGGTTACGTGACAGGGACTTGATTATTAGCTACAGTTTAGATAGGTTGGGACCTAAACCAATATGTTCAGGGTAACACAGGGACATGATTATTAGTTACAGTTTAGCTATGTTTTGGACCTAAACTGAGGAGTTCATAGTATTATTAAAATTTTAAGGGGTTAATCAACCCGTTATATGGGATGACCTTTGATTGAAAGTTGTTCTAAAGCCTAAAAGGTCGAATATTACTTTGAACAGTCCACTTAAGGTCCAAACTTAGCTAAACTCTAACTAATTCTCATCATCATCATCCACCATCACCGCTAGCATCATCATCACCATCATCATCATCATCATCATCATTCATAAAAATCTTTCATATGCACATTCGTATACAAGAACACATCCACTCTCATCCCAAAACGCCTAGCAGGACTTCTATATAAATATCGTATACCATATACAGGCTATATCTAAATGACCTGTTCTATTGGGGACCTTTAAATCAGTTATACATATGAAGTCTGTCTGTTTGTCTGTCTGTCTGTCTGTCTGTCCATTAAACTGTTCTTTCATATCTGACTATGATTTCTGTCTGTCAATTTAGTCCGTCCGTCCTTCTATCAGCGCTGTTCTTTGATTTCTGTTTGCACATTAAAATGTTCTTATTGTATAAAGAAAATTGCAAAACAGTATAAATTATTTCTTATTCCAAAATGTGTTTATACAGAAATGTTTCCCTGAACGTGCTACGGTTTTGCCAGAGTTCACACAGAATGTTGTTTTAATTTCCTGTAGACCGGCTTGCGTTAACGATACACTAACATATCCGGTTTCTGTATCGAAGTTGTAACTCGATTTGCGAGATCACGTTTCACGAACGGGCCGCGTCTTATATCCGTATAAATTTCAGCAACCCTGATGAGTTATTTATAGCATGTGACTCAACACACATTTTTGTTTTTATTTCTTTACACATATTTTATTTAATTTAATCGAAAAGGAATTGGACTCAATTCATAGCAACTAATGACACGTCCTCTTCCTTATAAATACTTGCATTAATTTGGTTTATGTAACAGTACGTACCCAATTATATGTAATTGACTGTAAAACAACAAATTTCATTTCGAGTTTAAACAATATGATTGATACTCAACTTAACAGTAAACATATTTGTTAGATTTAAATGTTAACCTCAGCCCACATACGTTGTCCTTCCAATAAAAAAGTCTTTTGTGCCTCAAAAAAATGCGTTGCTGTGCTGGGGGTAATCCAAATGTCTACATACATAATCTCTGTCCTACCAGGAAGGGGGTAGAATTCATCACATTTTATTCATAATTGACTGTATACTTATCCAGATAACAAACTGACCAACATGACCAGTATTTTAAATACATTTTTAAATAACGAGATAGATAACCTCGTTATTTACTTAACTGAGTTAAGATCAGAACCACACAATTAATATTTAATAATGATCAAACGATTCAAACACATTTCTAACGGGTTGTTTAAATTAAAGTGTTATTTTGTATAAATTAGTGTATATTTTGAACTTTAAGGATACGAACTCGGAAGTTATTTATTTGTTTAAATATTTGGCCATTTGTGAAAAACCAGCATTTTTTTCATGTGTCAACGTATCGCTTAAATGTTTTGCCTTTTGTCGATTCGTACGAAATGTTGATGAATAAATTAGTCTTGACAAAGGGACTACATGTGTGTATGAATTATTGTAAATGCAAATATTCATTATAACTAAATCGTTCAATTGGTAGAAACATATTCAGAATATTCATATTTTAGAAGCAAACAGCCAATCTTTTTTTTTTTTTAAAGAGTAATTTTAAAAACGATCCTTACGGAGCCTCAGAAAGGTTATTGAAATTCAATAGGATTGGTAAACACGTTCCGAGAGCCCCGTCACCCTAGCCTGTACATGATGCATGGCAGTGCAATGTATTCGTTACACTTGCTGAAAGGGGTTCACGAGAGGTAACCGATAGAAAATAGAATTTTAAAAAACATCTTAGTTTATATATATCTATGACTTGTGTTTATCAGAATGTATAGTAGAACACTTCTTAAAAATATTTTTGCTGTTTGAATTTGAAACGAAACGCATTCCAAGGAAAACCATAAACTTATACCATGAAAGAAAGCTTATCGCGTAAATCAAAAATTCTTCAACGCGGAGCCCACCACGAGATGGTTGGGGTCTCTGTAAGCTCATAAACCGTGCGGAGTACGAAACCGACTGAATGAACGCGCATGTCAAAAGATGAAAATCTCCCCATCTTCATATATAAGGATAAGTAAATATTGGTCTTGGGCAGGAGTTGCACACGAAGCCAGATATAAAATTCCCGAGATAGTATAATTTGTTTACCCTTCTAGCTCTCAATCACAACCCCGTCAATGTAGTCCCTAGTTTGAGGAAGCCCAAGAATTTACAGCGGAACCATCGAACGTTAATGTTAAACTGAATAAAAATGTCTTTGTTGAATGGACAAGGAACCGTAAGCTTTCCCCTATCATACAGGAATAGTTTCATACACGTATAGTTGTATGCAAGCATAATTATTCCTTTGCTTCTCCCGCGCTTCTCCCTTTCTCCCTCTCGTTTTCCTCATTCAATCACAATGATATACTTAGTATATATTTGTATTGTTAGCCGTCTGCTGATTACATACCAATGCACATGCTTTATTAAATTGTAAGGAAAGGGCGCTCATAATGTTCTCGAAACTTATGCCCAATCCTTTAGCTTTCTTATGGCAATAAAATATCTTTAAACCAAGGAATAGTTTTACTTCTATGTAAAGTGTGAACTTTTAACATGATCAACGAATTCGGAAACAAAGTATCTCAACAACATGTTCTTCCCTCATCGCCAACCCCTCCTTACCCCTGCCCCTCCCCCTACCTCCACCCTCACCCCTCCATACCTCCACCCTCACCCCTCCTCACAATACACGTTGACTTGATATCTCAGAAGGTTGGGGTGCATCTCGCATAACAGTCTGCATGCTTGTCAATTTTCCCGACCCCATCTGCTGGTCGGCCACTCACTTTCTGCAAACCTAAGGATGAAAGACGGGACATTGTGTAATGTACTTCCAGTTTCATATCCTAATATAAACAATCTAGGCATATTTTAAGATCTTACAGCCTTGAAATAAACAAGTACTTTGATAAGAGTTCTGACGTAGTAAAAATCCAGAAAATTTGAGATTTTATGTTGGAAGAATAATTAAAAATGGAAATAGTTAGGATTTTATGAAGATGATCGTTTATTGCTCTTGATTATTTTCAATTGTTATTTAAGGTATTTCTCACCTCAAAAAACGTTTTACCAAATATTGATGTACATGTGAAATATCATTCGCGACAAAATGATGGCAAGACTAAATCGACTTAAGTCCGTTCAACCAGACCCTTTTTGTCTGCGCAAGCTACATCTTGAATTACGCAGTGATCAAGCGTGAGGTTGAACGAGACTAAATCGACAAAAACACGAAGCATAATATTTCCTGTGAATGGCTATTTTTCTAATTAAAATATAATTACCGGAAGTGCTATCTCAGCGCCCACTACCCCTCCACAACCAACTCATTGGAACTTTTGATAAATGTTAAATCTCAATTAATAAGATCTGAATCCCGGTCCCTTTCAAGACCCTTAAATATCCCTAGTCCTGCCAAGACACCCACAGTCCATTAACGAAGTAGCCTCCTACAAGATCCTGATAATCCTTGTCTGTATCAGGGTTTGCCCTAGGTCAAACCTGTGTCTTAAA